TATCCAAGCATTCTCACCAGAGCAGTGTTCTGTACATTTAATCTGAGTTTGTGAATCAAGGGAAATCAAGGGAAAGACATTTTCACACAGTATAATTGGATCCCATAAGTATAGTACTCCAAGATTTAAGCATTTGGATTGACTCACACAGCAAAGGAGGACACATTAACACACAAATATCATCAACAAAATGTTATTTTTTTTCTCTTTGTGTTTAAGAACTTTCTCAGGACATATTATTGTGCTTTCTCAATAAGACTTTGTAATTGTCTCATGTACTCATTGAAAAGACTCTTCATTTTCAATCATAACAGCATGCCAGTGACACTAATATTTTATTGTTATTACAGTATTTTGAGCAGTAAAATGAAATCACCCTATTGCATCAATCTCTTATGTTTCATTTTTGTTTATTTAAAAATTTTACAAGGTGATTTTGAAAGACAGTCGTGGTGAAAAATATTTCAGTTGAATGAAGTGTGTTTTTATTGCCTGAATAAGTCCCTGTAACACGACTCTGTTTCACAGCAACACAGAAACATTTTCAAAAACCTGAAAAAAAAGGACTACTGTATGAAATTATACTTTAAAAACAACAACAATCACATCACTGTTTTCACTTTGACAGTGGTTGAAGACACAAACTACGCTTTACACCATCTGGAGATCTCTGAGGATGTTGGTTTAACAATACAATATTTCATGCATCACAAAATGCCAAAACTCCAAGGAGGAAAAAAAAGAATGAACATTTAAGCCGGTCTGCAAATGTTCATAGCAGAAACCAACATTGTTTAATATTATGTATAATTGCACACTTCTAGGGTTAGATGGCAGCTTGATACTGATCATAATATATACACAAGAAATAGATCTTAGCTTCTCACATTCAGAAATCAAATGGAATGGTCAACTTCTCTGTAACACAATAAATAGCTCAATAGTGAATTTCCAAAGCCAACAGCAGCAATTTAACAGCATGTCACAGAGACTTTAAAACTACAAACCAAAAACATTCTGTGCCTATTTTCACCTGAAAAAGTCATTTACAAACTTAAAATACTGTAAATGCTAATTCATTCATACTGCAGTTTTGGGTTTTCTATCTAATTAAATACTTTATTTAGCTACTTGTCTGTTTTACATTATTACAACCCAGTTTTTGAGTCAAAGCTTCTAGTCTTTTTTCTCACCAGTCAGACACCTCCATAAAGTCCTCCAGCTCACTCATAGCTATTATATCACGGGGCTGATATCGTGAGTGGGCTGAGTTATCATTTTCACAAACTGAGCTTCCTGCAAGCTGGCTGTTTGTGTCACACTCTGGGAACGACTCATACGAGCCATGTGTGTTGTAAACTGTGCTATATGTTTTGTCTGTTTCATTAACCGTGTCCATGTACGGTGTCTTCTCTGGGCTATAGCAACTCCCTTCAGAGTTTTGTCCCATTTGAGGGGCTGAGTATCCATAGCTGTGGTTCTCCCTGACAGGCTGTTGGTCCTGGTGGAGAGCCACAGGGCCTGATGACCTGTGGGGTGCAACGGAGTTGATAGGTTGGTGACCTTGGGGACAACCATCGTAGCCTTGATAAAGCACAAAGGGCTTGCCAGCTGGAGAGGCTCGGGAAAGGGGATGCTGGTGCAGCATGGCCTGAATTTGTGGTTGGAGCTGAGGCTGTGAGTATGTTTGCTGAAGCTGAGGGCAGGACGTGCTCTGGCTAGATTCACGGACATTGAGCTGAACATAATTTCCTGTCTCTGGGTCAAAAAAAGTCTTCTTTTTCACTTGAACAGGCATGTCCACTACGAAATACTGACCAGAGCCAGGGTCTTGCAGCACTTTGCGTTGGGTCAGTGGGTAGGGCTGGGGATAGCTTGACTCTACGTGGTACTGTGTTACTGGAGCTGGGTGGTTTGCATGTTGGAGAGTGGGAGAAGAAGCAACATGAGCCACTGTTTTAGGAGCAGCAATGTGGGAAGCAGGGGCATTAGCATGAGGCAAGGAAGCTGGGAGGGAGATAGGACAAGTGGCATAAGAGGGAGCATGGATAGAGTGGTTAGAAGATTGGTGCTCTGTGTGGGAAGGCAAGCTAGACCCTAATGCTGGAGCATGAGCAAGGGAGACAAGTGCAGAAATATGAGGGGAGGCCACAGCATGACGGGTGAAAAAGCGTACCTCAGTAGAGGAGGTGGAAGGGATATTGGAGACTTCTTGAGGAGATTTCTTAACTCCAGCAGTGTTGTCTGCTACAGCTTTGGATAACTCTCTGTTTATCCTTCGAGAGCTCAACCTTTTTGCCCTGCGCAAGGCTTTGTCACTCTTTGGGGGAACAGTTGGAGGCTTGCCCAAAGAACGGGACATATCACTGCTGAAGCTACAGGCGGATTCTGGCCTCTTGTAGTCATACATGCATCGTACATCTGACAGGTGTGCTGCACTGGAGGCAAAACTCTCCACATCCTCTGACATGGTGCTGATGACAGAGCGGGAGTCATCATCATCCAGAGCAATGCTCCTCCTGAAGTAAGGCCTGTGCTGTGGGAGAGGGGCTGGGTAACCCTGTGATGAAGATACTGGCTGAAAAGTCAATGATTCTTTGACAGTATCAAGTCTATTTATCTCTATGTCAGGATGAGCAGAAGTAACAGTACTTGGTCTCATTATCTCCTGCTCCTCATCTCCTCGCTCTAACTGCCTGTCCATGGTCAACCCTGCATGGAAATCCTCTCCAAGGTTCTTATGGAAGCGTGGCTTGACTGACTTGGTGAAAGAATAACCTCTGGTGGTGTTATCCTTCACCCTGAACATTGAGGGCTTGGGTCCCAGAGCAGGAGAGGCGGTGTTGGAGCGGGGCAGAGATGGAACCGGAGATGCAGGGGCATGTGGCCTATAAGGTCGAGGGTGGGGTCCTGTGTCCTCGGCTGACTCAAGCTCTGATGGATTGTTTCTTTGTTGGGGGAGTAAAGGGGAGCATAGTTGTCTTTCTTCAGGTTTGCTCTCTGATTCTGTTGATGTGATGGCATAATATTGGAGAGCAGCCATCCTCTGTGCTACTTTTTTCTGCTCATCCCTCTGAGGGGCTCTCTCCTTATCTCTGTGAGCTGCTGACTTTCCTTCTTCTCTCTCTTTGGCGCTGATCTCATCTTCTCTTTGAGTTAGCATTTGTTTTCCTGCTACTCTCTTCTCCTCCTCTTTCACTGCTGTGTAGCTCACCTCAGGGAATCTGGTCTTCTGCCCCTTGGCTTGATTTTCTTCTTTTTGTTTTATAATTGTTTTTTCTATTTCAATTGCTTTCCTCTCCTCCTCCTCTTCTCTTAGAGTTCTCATCCATTCTTGTATTTTCTGCCTTTCTCTTCTCTGCTGTTCAGTCTGCTGCTCTGCTTTCTTCTCCTCCTGAATCTGTTTGATGATTTCCTCTCCTGAAATTTCAGCAGCCTCCTCCTCTCTCTGTTTTCTTTTCTTTTCCTTCTCAAAATCAGTGAGTGTCTTCTCTTCGACCTGGTCTGCTAGCTTTTGCTCCTCAATCAATTGCAGCTCTCCTTGCTGCTCCTCTTGTGCAGCTCTCCTTTGCTCCTCCTCTAGTGCAGCTCTCCTTTGCTGCAGCTCTCCTTTGCTGCTCCTTTGCTGCTCCTCTGGTGCAGCTCTCCTTTGCTCCTCCTCTAGTGCAGCTCTCCTTTGCTCCTCCTCTAGTGCAGTTCTCATTTGCTGCTCCTTTAGTGCAGCTCTCCTTTGCTGCTCCTCCTGTGCAGCTCTTCTTTCCTGCTCCTCTTGTGCAGCTCTCCCTTGCTGCTCCTCTAGTGCAGCTCTCCTTTGCTGCTCCTTTTGTGCAGCTCTCCTTTGCTGCTCCTCTGGTGCAGCTCTCCTTTGCTGCTCTTCTAGTGCAGCTCTCCTTTGCTGCTCCTCTAGTGCAGCTCTCCTTTGCTCCTCCTCGGGTACAGCTCTCCTTTGCTGCTCTTCTAGTGCAGCTTTCCTTTGCTCCTCCTCGGGTGCAGCTCTCCTTTGCTGCTCCTCTGGTGCAGCTCTCCTTTGCTGCTCTTCTAGTGCAGCTCTCCTTTGCTGCTCCTCTAGTGCAGCTCTCCTTTGCTCCTCCTCGGGTACAGCTCTCCTTTGCTGCTCTTCTAGTGCAGCTTTCCTTTGCTCCTCCTCGGGTGCAGCTCTCCTTTGCTGCTCCTCTGGTGCAGCTCTCCTTTGCTGCTCTTCTAGTGCAGCTCTCCTTTGCTGCTCCTCTAGTGCAGCTCTCCTTTGCTCCTCCTCGGGTGCAGCTCTCCTTTGCTGCTCCTCTGGTGCAGCTCTCCTTTGCTGCTCTTCTAGTGCAACTCTCCTTTGCAGCTCCTCTAATGTAGCTCTCTTTTGTAGGCCTTTTTGTGCAGCTCTCCTTTGCTCTTCCTCTCTTATCAATTTTGCTCTCCTCACCTCATCAATCTTCATTCTCCTTTTCTCTTCAGTTTCTTTCATTTTCCTTTTTTCTTCTCTTTGCTTTGTCCTCATCTCCTCTTCTTTCTGAGCAGCTCTTTCATCCTTTGTCTGTTTTGCCTTGGTTTCTTCTTGATGAGTTGTCGACACCTCTTGTTTTGGTTTATCTGTCCTCCTATTCACAGTCTTTGACCCTGTGTTATTATCTTTTTGTTTTTGAATCTTCTCAACTTTTCTTAGAGTTGCCATACTTTCTTCCATGTTGGGCTTTTGCCCCAGAGTTGGCTGTATATGAGAATTTTTATCCAAATATATCAGTTCTTCAGATGTGTTTCTTGGTTTGTCAACTGCAGGAGTTGTGTGCAGATGATTGTCTGGATGATGAATTCTTCGATGTGCTTGGCTCACTCTGTGAGTGCCAGCTCCAGACATTAGTTCTGTCTGCCCTGTTGGTGGCTTATTTTTTTCATTAAGATCGTGTGCATACTTTTTATTAAATTTGGCTTCTAAAAGCATTTTGTCGTGTTTTTCTTTGTCTCCCAGTTTATACATCCCTGTCCTTTGGTGCTCCTTTTCTGTAATGGGAAATACTAATGCTTTGGGCTCTTTGTTCACTTTGGCACTCGTCTCTGTCTTATTTGGCAAACTTTTTTCTTTCACAAAGAGATCTTTTGGGTCAGCAGTGGACATTGGACGTCTGCTATGACGAGTCTGTATTAGTGGAAAGAATCCTTCTTTTTTGTTTGGTCCAAATTCCTGAGTTGTGTTTTCTTGTTCTTCTGAAACAATTACTTTTAATCTGGCATAATCTGCAAGTGCTGATATCTCTGGTATTGTGGATGCCCTTTCTTTTGGTTTGGCTCTAAGTTCAGGTTTCTCCTTAACCGCATTTTCCGCTGTTAAATGCACATTTCTCGAGCGCTGTCTTTCCCTTGCTGATAAACTGGATTGGCTCCCCATGTGATGTTTTCTAATGTAATGAGCTTGACCTGCTTCCATCTTTTCATTATTGCTCTGTTTCTCTATGGGAGCATCACTCTGTTTTGAAGCCTGCTTATCTTCTGTTTGAGAGTTTTTCTTTTTCATGTTCTCATTTTGAACGCTTATTGAACTTGAGTCCACAGTTTGACTTTGATCCAACTCAAACTCTTCATTTTTCCCTCCCTTGTATGGTTCCTTGCTGATCAGTGCCTTGTTTGGCAGAAACCCTGGAAATCCCCTTGCCTTTGAGACACCATCTGACATGTCTCCAACATCTGCACTATTGTGTGCCTCATCATTTGTTTCCTTTACCCCTTGCACTTGAAAGTAGTCTCCCTCCATTGTTTGTATCTTTGATTCCTCTAGTGATTTCCCACTTTTCTTTGGTTTTTCAGGCTTTGCATTGTCAGCTTGAGTATTGTCATGGGTTCCACCTATGCTATTGGACAGCTTTCTCACACTGTAATGTACTCCTAATTTGTCTTCCAAGCTGTCTTTCATCTGCATCTCACTGCTTGCTGGAGTGAGGTCCTTGGTTATGTCTTCACCATTTAGAGCGTTCACTTTTTCATCATAACTAGATGATGCAACTTGTTTATTCTTGTTAGTTGCAACTACATCAGAAGTGACAGTTGCGATATCATGTTTTCCTACAATTTGTAGGCTGTCCTTCTCTGTTACTGCTGGCACAACTCTGATGGCAGTGCTGTGCATATGCACATTATCTCCAGCTTTGTTGTTTTCTCCAGTGTTTGTCTCTTCATACTGTAGTTGTGAAGATATATGTTTGTTTTCATTCTCTGTTAAATGGTCAGAAGTTCTGGTTTTATTAAAAGGTCTTGGTGGTATTGATTCATGTCTCTTTTCCTCCAGTAGGGGTGCAATCTCCCCATCTATGTTCCTGCTTTTGGATGTCTTCATGACCATTGTCAGAGCTTCTTCAGCTGATGGTTGGACATCATGTTTTATCAGGGATTCAGCATTGGCTGTGTTGAAATCATTTTTGTAGTTGATTGCTGTGTTCACCACTTGGGACATGAAGTGCTCAGTAGTATGTGCTGTTTTGCTTTTTTGTAGATTCTTCTCTTCTGTATACACTTTTACTTCATCTTTCCTTGTGCTCTTTGGTGAGTTCTCTTTCAGTGTTTTATTTGTGAAGTCTCTATTTTCTCTTGCTATTACGTCCTGGTTGTAGAGAAGAGCTTGAGTTTCATTTAACACCTTATTTTTAGCTGGGACAGTGACAGCGGAGAGGACACCTTTTCCAGCCAGTGGTTCTTGGAGTTGTGTTTCCCTTTGGGGTCTTGCATTTATAGATGAACTCTCCTGTTGGAGGTTAGTCAGTTTCTCTGTGACATTTTCAAACACATTGTTTTTTCTTGTTTCTAGGGTTGAAGTTTCATTCATGTTTCCAGGATGAATGTTCATACCAACTTCAGTTTGATCTTCTTTCACCGTAGGGTGATTTTCTTGTGAAGCTCCGTCTTTTACATTTTCTATGCTAACTTCACTTGACAGTGTTTTTCCTTTTCTTACTTCTAAACCTGACATGATATGACATGTATCCAGCTCAGAATCACTGCACTCTTTTTCTTTTGCATTCATTTGTTCTAGAGTGCAGTCATCCCCCTGACCAGTGGTCAGAGATGGTCTTTTATCTAGTACAGATACCATTAAGCCCACAATCTGCAAGCTATCATCAGGGACAGGGTTCTTGTTCTCACTAAAGATGACCCTTAATGAAAGTGAATCCTCAGGAACTGCTTCATGTTTACTCTCATCCTTTTCTGGTGTCATAGGCCTGGCGCTTTCAGCTTCAGCTAGAGCTGCAGCTTGAGGTGGATCCTCGTTCTTCTTGCAGAGGTGATCCATTTTTACAGAAGGATTGTCGTTATGTTCCTCCTGTTTTCCATAGTTTTTGCCAAGATTTGCTTCTTGGTTGTTCTCAAGTGCCTGCTCTGTACTTTGCATTGGTAAATTAATATCTAATTGCTTCTCTTTCTTTTGATTTCCTGCCAGGCCTTCATCTGTGCCCATTTGATAACTCCCTGTCTGCCGTGCTTCTTTGCATAGTTTTTGCATATTGTCATTGCTCTTCACTGGTTTTGTAGGAACTTGATTCTGTGAATCGTCTACTACCTGACTGGTGGTTGTTGCTGACTTAACTGGTATTATAGCAGAACTGGGAGGTGAAACAGACTTGACTGGTTCCAGCCGTATTGCTAAAGGCTCCATTTGCTGCTTTGGTGTAAGTGTACTGGACGTTGTGCTTTCATGCTTTTTACACACTTCCTGTGATGGTGGCCTGTGTCGTATATTAATACTCTGACTACCTGCTAAATGCTTGGTAGAATTTTTGGATATAAACCCATCTCGTAAAGCAAAGCCTTTTTCTTTAATTGCTGAAATCTCTTTCTCAGCATGAGCTTTTATCTTGGAAGTTAGAATCTCCTGCTTGGTCTGTGCTCTTTCTTTATGGGACAATGCTTTTGGAAGGATATGATGTGGATCCTTAACTGGACCTACACTGTGCTCAGCTGACTTAAGTTTTGTTTCCAGTAGGAGTGGTTTAGCCAAATCAGAATCTCTTTGCTGTGAAACATCTGTTTGTTTCACAAGGTTGTATTTTTCCAGCTTTTCAACACTTTCATCCTTGACTTTATCAGTGAAAGTGCCATTGTTTTCTCTATTATTTAAATTGATGGGTAAATATTTGGCACTGGTTAACTTGAATTCTTTGGATGACTCACTGTAAACATAGTGACCTTCTGTCACCTCACTAACTTTAAAGTTGCTCACTTCCTCCTTATTTTCTGTGTTAGCTGTTTCAAAGTCACTTGTAGGACAGCATTCGTCTTTTGATTTTTCATTATTCATGGTTTCAGCATTATGAAGAGATAAAGCTGATGATTGACTGTCATTGTCTGAAGACTTGTTTTCTGCAGTTGATTCTTTGTTTCTGTTTGATGATATTGCATTAGTAAAACCATGTTTCTCTCTCAGACAGTCAGAATCATCAGCCACTTTATCAGCTTGATCTCTACCATTTCTGCTAAGCTCCTCCTCCTCCTCCTTTTGGTGCATTGACATTTTATCTTTCTTTTTGTAAACTTCATTTTTATTGATATTAACCCCTACAGGAGCATTATTCTTTGTAATGCTATCCTCTTCTATGATGATAACATTTCTGACCTTCTCTTTTTGCTCTCCTCTCATTTTCTCTGTTATCTTGGCCAGTTCGGCTTTAGCTCTAGCTAACTCTGTCTTAACTTGCTCCACTTTATCAGGCTCACTTTTGACGTGTTGTGTCATTGTTAGATTTGCTGTGGGTTTTGATAACCTTTCCCGAATGATCTCTGTTTTTGTTAGCTCTGCTTTAACTAACTCCACTTTGGTTTGTTCCAACTTTGCCTGCTCCACTGTTGTCTCTTCAACTTTGGCATTTTTGGTTTTACTCCTCTGTGTTATAGGTTGCTCTGAATTTACTTGACCAACTTGACTTGAATCTTCATCCACTTTCTCTTTTCTGCCATCCTCAGCTTTAATGTGGTCTCCTGTAACCATTCCCACTTCAGCTACCTTCATTTTTTCTTGCTGCTCATTTATCTGCTGTAGTTTTATTAGTTCTGATTTTTGACACCCTGCTTCAGCAAGTTCTGCTTTAACCTTTTGTGTTCTGATTTGCTCTCCCTCACCTTGCTCTGCTTTGACGCTTTCTCTTCCGGTCTGTTCAGCCTGCTGAATTCTTGCCTGCCCAGGCTGCTCTGGCTTTGTCAGTTCAGTTTTGATGTGTTCTTTTAGCCACTCTGCTTCAGCTTGCTCTGCTCTTACCTGGTCACCCTGCTTTTCTTTCATATGCAGGGCCCCTGCTTCTTCTGTAATATTTTTTGAATCTTCTGTTGCTTTCTGCATTTTGACTTGCTCTGGTTGTTTTTCTCTGGACTGTTCTGTCTGTACCCCTTTTCTCTCCTCCTCTTTAACGTGCTCTGCTATTGCCTGTTTTGCTCTCTCATGCACTTTTAGTTCAGCATTGG